TTTTCTTTTATGACATAATATATCGAGATCTCTTTATTGCTTTCAGACATTTAAACCTCTTTAGGGGTCAAAGAGTTATGTCTTAACCTCTTTGTAATTCATGCCTCCTTAGTATGATCATCATGATCATTTGCTCTTTTTTCTTTTCTTTTGGAACCGATCATAATCTCATGCTTTTAGCATGTCCTTAAGAATGAGAGCATTTTTAGCTGGAATATAAGAATTAAAAATTCTCATTCGGGTCAGTAATTGCATCTGGCAGACATTAGTAATGTTTTATAAATGCAATACTTTATGAACTTCTAGTTCATACTACTATATTTGAGGATCTACATTTGATAGTGAAAGTGCATTCTATGTGCTCTCTTTTCCAGCTATACATTTTCTCCCCCTCATATTGGAAATATGCAATGTAGGTCTCCCAAATCCATAAATCTCCTTTAGAAACATTATTTTTTTTCATTTAGAGACAAACAAGAATAAGGAGGTTTTTATCCAACATTGATCCCAACTTACCTTTAATATCTATCTATGTGCATTATTACGGTGGAATAATAAATATTGCACATTCTAAGATGAAAAATGTCTGGCTCCTGACCAAAAGCCAGTTATAATGGGAGAATTCACAATACATTATTGGCTTGATGTATTTATGTGCAAAAATATATAAAATCAATGATCCTAATACTCAAATGGGAATTCTGTTCTCATAAACTCTGATCTAGCTACTTATGGAGGCTTTTACTAAGCATATAATCATCAGCAACGTAAGGAACAATCACTAGCAATCTTAACAAGAATCATATTGATTTCATAATCAAGAACTTATGTACTTAATGTAATTATCTGAACATATTTGCAAACTTTAGGTTGCAAGTTGATCATAAACACTTATGACCATTTTATAGATGCATCTTTCACTTATAGAATATTACTTTGGTCCACATGGCGTCTAAATGGGCCCATATATAAAGTTGATACATCATAAATCTGTACGGATCCGATTTTGAGCATAGCTAATGATGTTCTCTTTGAGAACAAACAACACATAAAAATTCTTAAATTATATATCAGTTTTAAAGAATCTTCTGGTTCTTTAATAAATGAAAATGCACATTTTTCATGATATTTTGCATTATTATGATCCGGGATGATCTAACCGGTCATGCCAAACTATAAATGTATAAACTTCTGATTTATTATAAAATTATTTTCAATTATTAGTAAACTTTTTGTTACCATGTCATATTATTCATTTTTCACCTTAATATTTCGTAAGGAATATGCTATCAATTATAGATTTTATCTTCAGGATAATAAATTATGATATAGCACTTTTAGAGCATTATTTTTCATCTTTTACCTAATTGTAAAAACTTGTGCACTCATGGAAGGTTGAGCGCTACTAACTCTTCTAGAGCCTTTTTCAAAAAGAATATGAGATATAAGGAATGATGTTAATATTAATAATAACAAATTTCATCTAACATAATTCACACTTGTATTTCAACAATCTCCCCTTCAAGTGTGAGTCATATAAATATATTTTTCTTATTTTTATATTTCAAATAAAGTGAATAGAGTAAGCTAATAACATATCTTTAACTTAGAAATCCAAATGCTTCCTAATTTAGATATAATAATGAATTTCAATCCAATTGTGCTATCACTTTAAAACCCTTTGATAAACAAATATTTTAATATATATAGTTGTTCAGGAACTAACATATATTATTTTTTCACTATATGATATACTTTACTTCTAGTTATGCTTTTTCAAAGTATGAAGTATATTTTTTTTTCAAAACATAAAATTTTAGGGATATTTCGTTATTCAAAAACTTCACTTCTTTATGTATATTATGTAATGCTTCAAAACTTATTCATAAAATTATAAATCCAACAAAAATTTGGGAAGATCTACAAGGACTAAAATCAAACTATATAGTTATGAAGATTTAATTCATATGCCTTCAGGGCTATTTATAAGTTATTAGTCTTCAAGACTCTATATAGTAAATATATATTTTAAAAATCATTTGTTCCCCTTAATATTTGAACTATAAGCCTTTGGGGCTTTAAAAACATCATAAGTTGTTATTTTCATGTCATTCAATAGCATGAGTATAATGGCTGATGGTCATTTAGTAATAGGAAATTATAATATTAATAAATATCAAATTGAATGTGAAGAATATATGAGAATAAGATAAGAATAAAACTTAAATTTTAAATTAATTAAATGTAACATGAAATAAAGAGAAAAAGGTAAACTTTTTTACGAATACATTTTTCACTATATAGTTACTAGTTTTCTGGGCTACATTATTTATAATTCTAATTGTCATAATTTTTTTTTATAAACAAACCATATAATGATCCTTCTCATAATCAAAACTATATGACTTTCGGCCATTTAATAAAGAAAATAAAGATACGTGGCATATAGCTATTTAATTTCAAAATAAAAAAATTAAAGATATATGGTTTCTGACCATAAGATAAAAATTTGATGTTATATGGCTTTTAGCCAATTAATAAAATAAGAAAAAAAAATTAAATCTTTATGACTTCTAGTCATAAGATAGAACATCAAAGTTATATGGATGCAAGCCATTTAAGAAGATATAGAAAAATTATATATAAATATATATGGCTTTTGGCCATAAAATAAGAAATTTAACATGATATATATAAATAAAGATAAATTAAATATATATATGGCTTCTGGACATAAAATAGAAAATACAAATTATATGGCTTCTAGCTTTTTAATGAGATAAAAAAATTCAAATATATATAGCTTCTGGCCATAAGATAGAAAATCAAGGTTATATGGCAACTGGCCATTTAATAAATAAAAAAAATTAAATATATATGACTTCTGGTCATAAAATAGAAAATTCAAATTAAATGGCTTCTAGTCATTTAATAAGATAACAATAATCAAATATATATGGCTTCTAGCCATAAGATGAAAAATTTATACCTAAATACTTCTAGTTATTTAATAAGATAAAATCTCAAATATATATGGCTTCAAGCCATTTAAAAAAAATAGAGAATTAGCCATATATATATATATATATAGCTTCTAGCTATAAGATAAAAAATCAAAGTTGTATAGCTTCTAGCTATAATATAGAAAATCAAAATTATATGGTTTCTAGCCATTTAATTTGAAAAGAATGGAAAATTAGAGTTATATGGCGTCTGGCTATTTAATTACAATGAGATGAAAACTTAGAATTATATGGCTTCTAGCCATTTACCTTCAGATGGTAACTCTTTACAGATACTGCTAGTATCTATTGGAACTTCAGGTTCTATCAAAATAGTGACGTCAGGTCAATAAGAAATAGAGGGGGAAAAAAATCTCCAATCATAGCCATGGAACCCCATGTTTAAAACAACAGTAGATAATCCTTTTAATTCCATATAATGGCTTAGATTATCCTAGATAAATTGAATAGGAATACGGATACTCTAAAAAACCATGCATATGATACTCAAGATATTTTTATTTGAACAGAGTAAAGGATATTTAGAAAAATAATAGAGATGATGCTCTAAAATTATGTTGGGGTAGAAAGGTATATCATATGCACTTTGGTTAGAGCTTCGTGCTGATAACGTGTTATAAATAAAGAAAAGATAGAGAGAAGAATCATACAGAGAAAGAGAGGATCAACAAGAGAGAATATTTCTTATTCCATTCAAGTATGCTCAATATATTATACATGGCCTCTATTTATAGGCACAGCTTTATACCTTTGATAGAATCTACAGATTACATAATAATATGAGATAATTGTGGGATACAGAGATAATAGGAGATATTAGAGATTATAGGAGATATAGGAGATAATGGGAGATATATGGACATCCACAAAGATATTATTATATTCATAACATATTATAAATTTGGAAGACAAAATGGATTGAAATATTGTATTTGGAATAAAAATAACCTCTTTAACTAGGTTTTATATTTCGAAGAATCTCAAAAAAATATTTTAAAATTCTAAATTCTAAATCAGTCTTATTTACTATACTTTAATAATAATTGATAATATTTAAAAATCAAATAAAAATACATTTTTATAGTCATTCCTGATTTGAGATTTAGAAATTTTAGAAGTATTTTTTTTAATTTTCCATTTATATTTAGAACTCGAGTGAGCAGTAATTAAATAGATATTCAACGAGTTTTTTCGAAAAGAATAAAACGTTGTTTAAGTCTTATAACCACGCGCTTCTAGGTAATCATATGCTTATTTGATCCTGAAATAATATGTATATAGACACACACACGCACACAGAGGTATTTTGGATGAAAGATTTTTTTTTTAATGATTTTAGCATCAGCTGTGTCTTTTTTTTTTTTAATCACAAGCATCATCATCCATAACAAAAACTAATCTCTCTTGGCTTAACAGCCTGCCTCTAATTTTAGATATTACTACCTCCGGTCCTTAATATAAGCTTGTTTGATTTTTGTTTTGGTTCTAAATATAAAATCACAATCCATTTTATCTCTTTTATTTATTTTTTTAAGGTAGTTCTTGTAATAATTATAGTTTTAGCTAATATACTAGATCAGCAAAGACATTTTAGAAAAATAATATCTATTTATTACAAATAACTAACTTAACTAATTTTTTTAATGTATTCAAATTAGTAAACTAGTTCTTATATTAAGAACCGGAGGTAGTATTTATTATGTGAACAATGGTAATTAGCTCGATAAGAGAAATGATTATTAACAGATAGAATAATTTGATGATCAATGATTTGCTTTGGGTAAAATCTTAGTAGTAGTGCACCCCAAATATTATTTTATGGCAATTTCAAAACTGCAGCTAGACTTTTGAAAAACCAAACAAAAATCATAATTAGACACCAACATACAAAATTGAAAATTACATGAAATTATGTTTTGGAAGAAAAAGCGCGCAGGAGAAGAGAAATAATAGATCATGATCAGCATTAATGCATAACTATTTCAAGCTTCTGATTTGGCTTCTATTTGTTGCTAATTTATTCAATAGAGTAGTTAGCCTCTTCTTCTTACTACGTGACCCTTGAGATCCACCGTTATCCTCAGATGCACAACCTGACGGCGATGAAGATTCCGGCCAGTGGCACTGCAGCTTCGTCTCGCTGACTACTCTTTCCGGCAGCTCTGGCGGGGATTCCGACCCAATGAGATGTGGAAAATTGAGCTTGGCTTTTCTACCCCTCATCTTAAAAGCAGCTATATCATAAGCCAATGCTCCATCCTCTTCCTTCTTATATGTCCCTAACCACGTTCTTGCTCCGTTCCTCTTCGGGTCCTGGATCTCAGCCGCAAACTTCCCCCACGGCCTACGCCTCACACCTCTATAATTCCTCCATCTAGGCGGCGCGTTCCTTTCACGCGCCACAGAATCTGCATTACTACTAACATTATTATCGGCTCTATCACCACCTGCTGATGGTTTCACGGTGTCTTCGTGCTCACCGGAAAACACCGCACCAGTGGAGTTGCTCAGAGACTGCTCAAGTGAAGCAGTACTGTCGCAGTTAGGGTTTGAAGTAGCAGCTTGACGTGAAGGAGAAATTATTCGTCATGAGAGAAGTGAAAGATGAAGGATCACGATGATCGTTTTGCTGAACTGATTCGAAAGAAGAAAGATTGTTAGGGATCATTTTTAGAAGCTAAGTTTATGCTGTGAGAGAACAGAAGCACAGATGTGACCAATACTGAAACAGGACTTATTTATATGTATAAATAATGACGTTCGTTTGAAGGGATTGGTGATATATTATTTTATTCTTGAGTTTTTGTGTTTTGACCGTAATATTCTTGAATTTGCTGTTTCCATGAAACTTCAAGTATAAGTGGTTGTCCTCGCGCGTGTGATTAGTTTGCATACAAAGAATTATATATATAATAGGTACATACTATATATGTATATATGATATGATATGATAGTTTCTTTTCTCTAACATTTATTTAAGAGCTCTTTGATCATTTGCTTTCGTTTTCTTTTCTTTCTTCTATCTCTCTCTCTCTCTCTGTGTTTTTTTTTTTTTTGCCTTTGTTTTCTGCGAACTATTTTTGCTTTTGTTTAAAGTATGGTTTATTTTGCTTCGTTTAAACTATGGTATATATGCAAAGGCAAATCCAGAGTCAAAATGTTAAATATTTTAACAAAAGTAATTGATAAAAACTTTATTATTATTCAAACTGAAAATTAATCTTTTAAACCTTCAATTTTTAACTCACTTATAATTCAATCCTTTAACTATGACTTAGCACAACTTAATTCCCGAATTTTTGACTTGTCTGTGACTCAACTCTTTATTTTTTTCACATTTTTATATGATTATCCTTATCATCTATAACTCATCTTATGTGGCAAAGATTTGTTTCCAACCCAGCTCCACGTGGCGTTGCTGTGTCATCTTTCTCGGAAACGCATACCAGTTCACCTCTTCTGATGCTCCCCCATTTGGCGTTTTTCCGTTCAACTTTTCTTCAACTTTGCCGCCCAACCGACACCGTCTTCCAGTCAGCAATAGTCATCGAATTTGTTGATATAGTGTTATTTTGTAGCTTCTTCACTATTTGGGTGACCCTGATAGTGTAACTCACACGGATTCCCTTTAACTTGAAACCATCATAAAACGCCAAAGGAGAACAGGAAAACGATGAAGAAGCTATCACTTTTGTTTTTTTTTGTTGTTTTTCTTTTCCCATTAGATTTCCCAATAGAACAGTTAGGCTCTTTTTCTTACTCGATCCTTGGGTTCCATTAGCGTTTGACTGCAATGAAGGTTCCGGCGAGCGGTGCTGCTTCTGTCCAGCCAGCCCTCTCGCCGGCTCCGGTAATGGCTCCGATCCGGATGAGGTGTGGAAATTTGAGCTTGGCTTTTCTACCCCTCCACTTGCTTGAAAGCAGCTCTATCATAAGCCAAAGCCGCATCTTCTTCCTTCTCATAAGTTCCCAACCATGTCCTCGCACCGTTTCTCTTCGGGCGCCGGATCTCAGCAGCAAACTTCCCCCACGGCCGCCGCCTCATGCCTCAGTAATTCCTCCATCTTGGCTGCACGTTGCCCTCACGCGCCACAGATCCTGCGTCGTTATTACCATTTACTCTGTCATCACCACCACCGGTTTCACAGCGTTGTCATTCTCGCTGTGCCAGTGGGCTAATAACACCCCGCTCCGGCGAAGCCATGTCACAGTTAAGATTCAAAGTAGGGTCATTGCCGGTGAAGAAGCCATTCGTGAGAGCTTGTTGAACTGATTGAAAAGGAGAATGATTTGGGATCATTTTGGGAAGCTAAGTCTGGTGATAGTGCAGAAGCACAGGATCTGTGAAAAAATGGCTTATCTATATATATATATATATATATATATATATAGATGTATGTATGTATGCGTGCATGCATGTATGTAGGTATGTACGTACGTACGTGTATGTATGTATAATGACTTTTGTTTAAAGTGATGATATTATTTAATTGTGTTTGTTGTCTCCATGAAACTTCACTTGTTAATTTTGAGTTGTTGTCGTCGCGTGTGATTGGCTAATTCAAACAAATATTATTTATTTTTGAATATAAAAGGCTTAATTATGAGGATGCTATAAATGGCTTCTTTATGTATATGATGTTAAATATATTAATAATTAAACTGCTGGCTGATAAGTTGTTTTGCTGTGTAAGCGGTATGACAGAAGCAACACTAGTCAAAGGTTGAAAACCTCGTTAGATAAACTATTGATGTCTTTTTTTTTTTCTAAGCCAAAAAAAATTAGATAAATTTGACTTCGAGGACAGCACAAACCTCAAAGTTAATCTTTGAAAAATAAAATTAGCAACGCATTTTAATATACATCTCAAATTTTAGTCTTTTTATATTGCTCTCATCGATCTAGCAATTTTTTTTTTATAATCACCATTTTTCTGTCGGTTTGGATGCATCGGTGAGCAAAACTGATATACTCCTCCGGTCCTTAATATATAACCTAATTGTTGAGTTAGTTTTGATCCTAAATATAAGACTCATTTCTCATATTTATCAATTTTCCCTAAATTACCCATATGGATACTCTCTCAATTATAATCAAATAGAAGAGGAAGAGGGGTATTAAGAAAGATGATTATGGTATTTTAGAAAAAACGTGTCATATTTCTTATAATTAAATAACTTACCTAACTTTCTTAATTTAATTAAATTAGTTAAATGGATCTTATATTAAGGATCGGAGGAGTAGTATAAAATCATCTGAAAAAAGGAAAGAGAAAAGTTAAAGAGAACATTCAATAAAATTATTAAACAAAATCTTTTGATTAAAATTATATCATTAGATTTCGTAGTTGATAGACCTTAATAATATCATGTGATTCCTATCTCGCGGGATAAGGTTTTGTTATTATTTGTTTAATGTCCGTTTAAGAGTTTTGAATAAAGTAACGTGTTGACAATGTTTTTATAGCCAAGTAGTACAAGAACTCTCCAATAAGGACGAAGAAATTGTGAATTCGCTCTCAAATTGTGAATTCACTCTCATATGTAACCTCAAGCTTGCATATCCCTCTAATTAAAAGCAATGAAGCCGCAACTTTTTAAAATATATTCCTTTTGTCATTAATATAAGACATAATTAACTAATTTAAGTAGATTAAGGATCTTAATTAAATTAGTTAATATGATTTTTTTAAATACTCTAATCATCTTTTTTTAATCTTCTCTCTCCCTCTCTTACTTGATTATTGTTAAAAGAATATCAATAAGATTAGTTTGAAAAAAATTGATAAATATACGAAATAAGTCTTACACTAACATGAACTTTCAAATTAACTCTCACATTAAGAACATGATGAGTAGTATATTTTGACAATGAATATACTATATTTAATCCCTAACATAACAAGATAGAGTTGGGCCAAAAAAAAAAGATAAAGACATGAACATATTAACTTTAAAATATAGGATATTTATAAGAAATATAATAACAACATGCCTGAGACAAAAATAGTATATGACCTCCAATACTGAATTAATAATATAGATGATGACGCTCTAATTTTAATGAATATCAGCATGTGGTCAAAATCTTCAGCTTACTTCTGGGAACCTAGGGGTCAGCAAAAAGTACTGTTTCTATTTTAAATTTATGATTTTTTTAATTGATTACACTAAAACATGTTGTAAGGTTTTTAAATCTATTATAGAATGTTATGTTTAAGGGGAAAATATCATCAGAATTAGTTTATATATATAACATTTTATCTAAAGTACTACCTTTAGTTTTTAATATAAGATCTAGTTGACTAATTTAGAAAGACTAAAGATGTTAGTTGGGTTGTTTATTTATAATAAATAAATATTATTTTTTTCTAAAATACCCTTATTAATTATGTGTGTTTGAATTACCTATTGATCGTAACTCCTCAATATATATAACTACTATAATGATTTCTTGGGGATAAAATAGATAAATATTACAGACAAAATAAATTAGGTTCTTATATTAAATGTCAAACTAGCTTTTATATTAAGAACAAAATGTAGTATTAGTTTTTTATGTCTTTTTTTGTATTTTTAATCAACTGAACAACCTTCCAGGTTCCAACCAATTAAAAAACATCCTCTAATTATAATAAATTTTATGGAGAATAATTTCGAAGTCTTGAAAGTATTAATTAATTTTAACTAATTTAAGTAAAGTTGATCATGAATCTAAGGTAAATATTGCTCTTTGTAAATCAAAGTAGATTGGAATATTATTTTAAACTAAATTGAAAGTCAAATCAGTTCTAATATTAAGGGCAAGAGGTAGTAGTTTCAAGATTTACGAATAATGCAATATAATGATACTCATTATTTTATATTTTTCACTCTTCACTCAGGGCGAGTTAAGCATATATAGAAAAATCCAAATCAACTTATGATATATAATTTAAAACAACAAATTTTATTTTCAAGTCAGTGTAGAGAATACATCTAAAGATACATAAAACCAGTGAAGAGGAGGAATCCCTTGACTTCAAAGTTGAATAAAGCCTCACTTTGTAGACCAATGTGAACTTAGCTAAAGCTCTCACATACTGTGTAAAAGAAAGCTATTTAATTTTTTCTACAATATTCATTATCTTAAGTTTTATAACAAACTAAATTACCAGAAAATTATAAATAATGCGGCCTATCAAAAAATCTCATGCAACATTAAAATATAAATACAAAATTACTTTTAACATTTATTTTTAGTCACTTTTTTTTCATTTTCTATGCGAAACACTGATGAGATTATTTTAATAATGAATAAATAACATATGAATTATTTAAAAATGAAGACGTTTTAAATTAATTACATCTTTAACATAAAAACGGAAACTAAAAAAAATTAAGGATTATCAAATTTTCCCACAAACGTACGCAGCGAATCATAATTCGAAATCAAATTGATAAAACTATTTTATTCCACCCCCAAAAAATAAAAATAAAATGGATTGTCCTCAAAATTTAGGCATTAAATATTCCTTATATTTTAGGATCATTAATCACCTAGCAACATTTTTCTAAATAATTTTCTAATTATTAAACAACTTACATATTCTGGCCAAAAAAAAAACTTATATACAATATCATCCCCTTGTCTTTGATTACGTTTTGTTGACAACAATCATATTTTAATGCAATGTTCACCATATTTTCAAGTACACATACTACACATAAGTAATTAACTTGTATTGTAGGGTTATTAATCTTTATTTTTCAATTTTACCCCTATTTAATTTTTGTTGGGAAGAGAGAAAATGAAGAAGAGAGGTGAAAATGATTAATAAATTTAAATAAAAAATTAATAAGGACAAATTTAAAAAATTATATCAATTTAATACTTCATTGGTATGTGAGGTAAGTTACATAATATGTCAAACTGGTATAAAAGCAAAACACACGATTTTATTCAGATGTTCGACCAAACATAAAGCATCGATCCCCTTCCATGGCTCGTGATGGGCATTCATGTTATTCCTCTGGTTCTAAATATATGACCGATTTTGTAGTGTAATTTACATTACAAAATGGATTTTATATTTAGGACCAGAAGAGTATATTAATTTGGAAACTGTTTTACTAAACATTATATGGTGCGCTTGTATGGTGTTGAATCTTCAAGAACGAACTTACATAAGATAACAAAGAGAAAAAAAAGTCTAGCTTGGTTCTTTTTTCTGTTTTTAGAACATTTTTATAAAACTGTTTTTTTAAAACAAGTTTTGGGATTAAAATAAATCTGTTTGGATATTTTTTAAAAAAAAACTATATTTGTAAAAAAAAAAAACATAAAATTTGTATGATACAATTGTTTTTAAAATCGACTTGGAGAGTTGAGAGAAGTTGAGAAATAGAGTGGAGAGTACAGCTATCACAGATGGAGAGTTGGAGGAGTGAGAGACAACGTAGTAGGCAAAAACAAACAACCCAAAAGGCAAGCGCGAGAGAGCGTGGCTGTGACGAGGAAGAGAAATTAAGAAAAATAACAAAACCGAAAACAATAAAAAACATATAAACGTTGTTGATTTTTTTTCAATTTTGAAAGATTTCTAGTTTCTGTTTTATAAAACATTTAATTGAAATAATCAACCATCAAATAATTTTTATTTTTAAAAACAAAAAATTATCTTCAAAACAAGAAATTAAACAAGGCGTGAAATATTAATAGCAAGCTTGGAATCACGTTTCTGCTGACTATAGCTGCGATTTGACCGTTGTCGCTTTTAATGGGTAAATACTAAATAT